CTGCAGGATCAAGTTCTAGCTCTTGGATCCCGCTTTTCTAGCCGTTGGTTGTCTAATGCAATGACTCGTGACCTATCTCCCTATCATATTTGGTTTTAAAGTTATGAATGAAGTTTGCCTCTATAATCTATGCTCCTATTCTCCTTTAGGTCATTCCATTTACTCGATCACTACCCTTAAGCTAAAGGAAAACTTGTCTAACATCTCTATGACACATCTGAGTCTCAAGCTTCCATCTGTGCCCCCTTGTTCTGTTGGTATTCATTGTAAACATTTTTTTTGTTTCCACTCTGTCGATCCCTTAAGTATTTTATACGTCTGTACCATGTCCCCCTCTCTCCCACCTCCTTTCTAATGCCGATAGGTTTAGTTCCTTGAGTCTGTCTTCGTACCTCATTCCTCGCAGCTCTGCCACAAGTCTCGTTGCAAACTTCTGCACCTTTTCGGGCTTCTGTTTTTTTATGGGGCTTGACGATGTACTCACCTAGTTGTACTTACCTAGTTGTGCTTGCAGGGATTGAGCTCTGGCTCTTTGGTCCCACCTCTCAACCGTCAATCAACAGGTGTACAGATTCCTGAGCCTACTGGGCTCTATCATATCTACATTTGAAACTGCGTTTGGAGTCAGCCTCCACCACATCACTGCCTAATGCATTCCATCTGTTAACTACTCTGACACTGAAAAAGTTTTTTCTAACGTCCCTGTGGCTCATTTGGGTCTCAATATTCACCTAGTTATATTCACCTAGTTGTGCTTGCGGGGGTTGAGCTCTGCTCTTTCGGCCCCCTCTCAACTCCTCTGAGAATTTTCTAGGTAGTGATCATGTCTCCCCTTAATCTTCTGTCTTCTAGTGTCGTGAGGTGCATATCTCGCAGCCTTTCTTCGTAACTCATGCCTCTTAGTTCTGGGACTAGCCTAGTGGCATATCTCTGAACTTTTTCAAGCTTCGCCTTGTGCTTGACAAGGTACGGGCTCCATGCTGGGGCCGCATACATTGTGTGTGTGTGTGTGTGTGTGCTGTGTGTGTGTGTGTGTGTGTGTGTGTGTGGTGTGTGTGTGTGTGTGTGTGTGTGTGTGTGTGTGTGTACTCACCTATTTGTTTGTTTTATTTGTTCTTGCAGGATCAAACATTGACCTTGGATCCCGCCTTTCTAGCCATCGGTTGTTTACAGCAATAACTCCTGTCCCATTTCCCTATCATACCTAATTTTAGGATTATGAATAGAGTTTACTTCCGCAACCTGTTCCCCAAGTGCATTCCTTTTTTCCACTACTCTCACGCTAAAAAAAGTGTGTGTGTGTGTGTGTGTGTGTGTGTGTGTGTGTGTGTGTGTGTGTGTGTGTGTGTGTGTGTGTGTGTGTGTGTGTGTGTGTGTGTGTGTGTGTGTGTGTGTGTGTGCGAGCGCGCGCGCGTGCGCGAGAGGAAGTCGCGAGGTTAGGAGGTGAAGGAGATGGGGCGGGAAGTGCTTGCATCACTCCCTGGTGTAAGAGCAGTTCCCACGTACCGCTCACAGTTGGGGCCCTATGTACCCCTGGAGTAACGACCGCCGAGCAACACCCACCACTGCTGTTGGCCCCCACGTTACTCTCCACCCCGGTGCGATCACCCGCGCAAAAAACACTAAACAATGATATGATTCCCAAAATCATGCGCCGATAATACGATTACAATCTTAGCGTTGCCTCGCTCATACAGAGAATCTGCGTAATAAGCCAATGTTACACGCAACACCGGTGTTAACGTCAATCATTTTACCAAACTGAAAAAGCAGTCACGTAATACTGTCTTGTATTATGCGAAGCATTTTCACACATTAGGCGAAACGCTGTCAAGTATTATACGAAACACCGTCGCCTGCTTTATGAAACACCGTCGCCTGCTTTATGAAACACCGTCGCCTGCTTTATGGAACTCAGTCGTCTGCTTTATGAAACACCGTCGCCTGCTTTATGGAACACCGTCGCCTGCTTTATGAAACACCGTCGCCTGCTTTATGAAACACCGTCGCCTGCTTTATGGAACACCGTCGCCTGCTTTATGGAACACCGTCGCCTGCTTTATGAAACACCGTCGCCTGCTTTATGGAACTCAGTCGTCTGCTTTATGAAACACCGTCGCCTGCTTTATGGAACACCGTCGCCTGCTTTATGGAACACCGTCGCCTGCTTTATGGAACACCGTCGCCTGCTTTATGGAACACCGTCGCCTGCTTTATGAAACACCGTCGCCTGCTTTATAAAACACCGTCGCCTGCTTTATGAAACACCGTCGTCTGCTTTATGAAACACCGTCGTCTGCTTTACACCGTCGTCTGCTTTATGAAACACCGTCGTCTGCTTTATGGAACACCGTCGCCTGCTTTATGGAACACCGTCGCCTGCTTTATGGAACACCGTCGCCTGCTTTATGGAACACCGTCGCCTGCTTTATGAAACACCGTCGCCTGGTTTATGAAACACCGTCGCCTGCTTTATGGAACACCGTCGCCTGCTTTATGGAACACCGTCGCCTGCTTTATGGAACACCGTCGCCTGCTTTATGAAACACTGTCGCCTGCTTTATGGAACACCGTCGCCTGCTTTATGAAACACCGTCGCCTGCTTTATGAAACACTGTCGCCTGCTTTATGAAACACCGTCGCCTGCTTTATGAAACACCGTCGCCTGCTTTATGAAATACCGTCGCCTGCTTTATGAAACACTGTCGCCTGCTTTATGGAACACCGTCGCCTGCTTTATGAAATACCGTCGCCTGCTTTATGAAACACCGTCGCCTGCTTTATGAAATACCGTCGCCTGCTTTATGAAACACCATCGCCTGCTTTATGAAACACTGTCGCCTGCTTTATGAAACACCGTTGCCTGCTTTATGAAACACTGTCGCCTGCTTTATGGAACACCGTCGCCTGCTTTATGAAATACCGTCGCCTGCTTTATGAAACACCGTCGCCTGCTTTATGAAACACTGTCGCCTGCTTTATGAAACACCGTCGCCTGCTTTATGAAACACTGTCGCCTGCTTTATGGAACACCGTCGCCTGCTTTATGAAATACCGTCGCCTGCTTTATGAAACACTGTCGCCTGCTTTATGAAACACCGTCGCCTGCTTTATGAAACACTGTCGCCTGCTTTATGAAACACTCTCGCCTGCTTTATGAAACACTGTCGCCTGCTTTATGAAACACCGTCGCCTGCTTTATGAAACACCGTCGCCTGCTTTATGAAATACCGTCGCCTGCTTTATGAAACACTGTGCCTGCTTTATGAAACACCGTCGCCTGCTTTATGAAACACCGTCGCCTGGTTTATGAAACACTGTCGCCTGCTTTATGAAACACCGTCGCCTGCTTTATGAAACACCATCGCCTGCTTTATGAAACACTGTCGCCTGCTTTATGGAACACCGTCGCCTGCTTTATGAAACACCGTCGCCTGCTTTATGAAATACCGTCGCCTGCTTTATGAAACACTGTCGCCTGCTTTATGAAACACCGTCGCCTGCTTTATGAAACACCGTCGCCTGCTTTATGAAACACTGTCGCCTGCTTTATGAAACACCGTCGCCTGCTTTATGAAACACTGTCGCCTGCTTTATGAAACACTGTCGCCTGCTTTATGAAACACTGTCGCCTGCTTTATGAAACACTGTCGCCTGCTTTATGAAACACTGTCGCCTGCTTTATGAAACACCGTCGCCTGCTTTATGAAACACCGTCGCCTGCTTTATGAAACACCGTCGCCTGCTTTATGAAACACCGTCGCCTGCTTTATGAAACACCGTCGCCTGCTTTATGAAACACTGTCGCCTGCTTTATGAAACACCGTCGCCTGCTTTATGAAACACCGTCGCCTGCTTTATGAAACACCGTCGCCTGCTTTATGAAACACCGTCGCCTGCTTTATGAAACACCGTCGCCTGCTTTATGAAACACCGTCGCGATTTACGAAAAATTAACTTGCCGATATTGCATTTATGAATATTATAATTATAAATGTATAATATATACGAATGTTATAGATCAAACTAATAATAATTACAAAAACATTTGTAAATAAAGTTATTTATCTATCTCAAGGCTTACAGTAGACTGTAAATGTGGACAAGTCTTACAGTATTTACAATGTGGACACAAATCTTACAGCCTGTCAAACAAGCAAAATTGTATTGATATGTATATGTAATTGTGTTCATGGATATATATATATATATATATATATATATATATATATATATATATATATATATATATATATATATATATATATATAAATATGTGTATATGTGTGTGTGTGTGTGTGTGTGTGTGTGTGTGTGTGTGTGTAACATTAACAATTGTGTAACTAGCTTCAAAAGAATGTCACTTGCTTAGCTTAACGAACTATGGGGTTCAGTTCCTGGACCCATTATGTGCCTCTGTAACCCTTCCCACCACCGCCCACGGGACGGGTATGGGGTACATAATCAAGAAAGAAATTGAATTAGAGGCTGTTATTGCAGACAACTGTACCAAACACAGACATTGTAGACATAAGACAACACAAAGCACTGGCGCTGTACACGTAACCTGTGAAGAACACTGACACTGTAAACCTAAGTTTGAAAGAAAACAAGATGCAGCAAGTTCCTGGCATGAGTTTCACTATGATTGTAGCCATTCATAGCATGCATGTTTGTGTGTTGATGACACGAGCGTCTGTGAGGAGCCCCTCATCACTATACTCATCTGCCGCTGCCGGTTCATCAATTTTTTCCCCGCGACGAAAGAACTGAATACCTTACACAGAAGAATCAACCCAACTTCCTGCTTTTTTTTTGTGGGTACATGGTTGAGACAATACTGCTATTTGGGGGGGTTGATGCCCCTTGACCCTTGCGCGCGCAGGCAAGGTCGCGCAGAGAGAGAGGATGGGAGGGCGGAGGATGCGTCGAGGTGGTTAAGGATGCGACGAAAGTGATTTTTGTGAAGCCGAGGCGGCGCGAGGCAGTATATAAGAAGAGAAGGACCCTACCTAGGCACCATACTCCACCATGAAGCTCCTGGTGAGTAGCAGCCCTCCCTCTGCCTCCTCTTACTGCCCTGCGGCAAAGTTTTTCTTACGTGTTGACAGTGCTCGGCTTGGGCCAAGAACCCCATAGCAGCGTCTTGTAGTGGCTCTCGTGTTCCCACTCCAGCCCAAGGCTCCACGCTCACATAAGCTACAACAGAAAATGTTCAACATACCAAAAGAAGTTTTTTCTGCTATTAATAGTAGTACACAATTGAGCTAATGTCATTCTTGATATTAATTGTTGTTATGTGTGATTTAAACACCTATACAATGAAAGTGTTTCCGTCAATTTAGTATTGCCGCTTAAGTTCATTTTCAACGAGTTAACAATATCTTGTGTATTGTTTAAATGCTGGTGAATGTGGCACGTCGCAGCGGTGCTGAAAGTGGCGAGGAAGCCTGTGTTATTTATGTGCAGTAATGGTTGAGAGTTTTGTAGTGTTTTGGCAATACTAGTGACGACATAAACGTTGACGGTGTTGTGGCAACTCTACACCACCGAGCTCTTCTGCTAGCTTGCTTCTTCTCATAGTGAAGAGGTAGCGAGGTTATAGCAACTTAGGTATTGAATGACAGGCTTGTGGAGTCGTAGTAACATTACTGATGAATGACAGGCTTGAGGAGTCGTAGTAACATTACTGATGAATGACAGGCTTGAAGAGTCGTAGTAACATTACTGATGAATGACAGGATTGAAGAGTCGTAGTAACATTACTGATGGATGACAGGCTTGAGGAGTCGTAGTAACATTACTGATGAATGACAGGCTTGAAGAGTCGTAGTAACATTACTGATGAATGACAGGCTTGAGGAGTCGTAGTAACATTACTGATGAATGACAGGCTTGAAGAGTCGTAGTAACATTACTGATGAATGACAGGCTTGAGGAGTCGTAGTAACATTACTGATGAATGACAGGCTTGAGGAGTCGTAGTAACATTACTGATGAATGACAGGCTTGAAGAGTCGTAGTAACATTACTGATGAATGACAGGCTTGAAGAGTCGTAGTAACATTACTGATGAATGACAGGCTTGAGGAGTCGTAGGAACTTCAATCTGCTAAGTTAAGCAACCATTGTAAACTTACGTATTTTGCCGTAACTAAGCATTCCTTTGGACGTCTCTACTATAACAAATGTGAATAAATGATACTGTTTCTATATTCTCATTACTTTTAAGCTTATCGATATATATATATATATATATATATATATATATATATATATATATATATATATATAAGCTGTGGTATATATATAAACCCCAGCACTTGTTCCTACACATGTGCGTTATTAAGCTTCCCGTACTGTCCACAGATCTTGGTCTGTGTGTTGGCGGCTGCTGTAGACGCCGCCCCTCAGGGCTATAGCCTCCCCGCGCCCTCTGGAGGAGGGCTCTCCCTGGGCGGCTCAGGTGGAGGTGGTTTCGTCTCTGGTGGTGGCGGATTCTCCTCTGGAGGTGGCGGATTCTCCTCTGGCGGTGGTGGCGGATTCTCCTCTGGCGGTGGTGGCGGATATTCTTCTGGAGGAGGAGGCGGAGGCATCATCTCTGGAGGCGGAGGTGGAGGCATCATCTCTGGTGGTGGCGGATTCTCCTCTGGTGGTGGTGGCGGATTCTCCTCTGGAGGTGGAGGATATTCTTCTGGAGGCGGTGGTGGAGGCACCATCTCTGGAGGCGGAGGCGGAGGCATCATCTCTGGAGGCGGAGGATTCGTCTCTGGTGGTGGCGGATTCTCTTCTGGTGGTGGTGGTGGTGGTGGCGGATTCTCGTCTGGAGGTGGAGGATATTCTTCTGGAGGCGGAGGCGGAGGCATCATCTCTGGAGGCAGCTGTGGTGGGGGACAAGTCCGTCACGTAGATGGCAGCTGCGTGACTCCCCAGATCACCAGAAACCTGTATGTGTTCACAGCACCTGCAGTGTCGCCAATCACTGGCCCTCGACCAAATGTCCCTCTGCCCAGGGTGCAGCACAACATACTGTTCATCCACGCCCCTGACGGAATCCTGAGCCAGGAGCCAATCGTCGTGCCCCCGCCACTCCAAAGGAACGTCGTGTACGTCCTCAACAAGCGCACTCAGCTCGACCATAAGGTGGTCCAGGTTCCAGTGCCTGAACAGCAGACTCCTCAGGTGTTCTTCGTCAACTATGGTGAAGGCGACAACCCGACTCTGCCCACCGGTGGGGACCTTCAGTCGGCTCTCAGCTCCGCGTCTCAGGGTGGCGGCCAGCTGATTGGTGGTTCCCATGGCGGTGGTGGTGGAAGCATCGGTGGAGGAGGAAGCATCGGAGGCGGTGGCATTATAAGCGGTGGAGGAAGCATCGGAGGCGGTGGCATTATAAGCGGTGGAGGCAGCATCGGAGGCGGTGGCATTATAAGCGGTGGAGGCAGCATTGGAGGCGGTGGCATTATAAGCGGTGGAGGCAGCATCGGAGGCGGTGGCATTATAAGCGGTGGAGGCAGCATCGGAGGTGGCGGCATCTCAGCGCCATCCGGCCAGTACGGAACGCCCACACCTCCGTCTTCACAATACGGAACACCCTAAGCAACAATGCCATAGGCAGCTGCTTTCTCCCTTTTCTTCCCTCTCACTGAATACATCAATAAAGCTCTTCGCACGAAGATAAAATTTGATGCCTATATTACGCTTGCCACAAGGAAGGGGCCGCAGTTATTTATATTTAATTTGAATTAAATGTTTACATCAAATAAGGAGTTTTCGCATATTTTTTGTTAATGATTAAATAAAGATAGAAAACATTTTCAAGCTGATTATTACTTTCCACTTCAAACTATGGCAATTCGTACGACTTGCCTGCTGTCCTCTAATAGTCATCTGGAGATAAACGAGTGATGTTTTAGTTAAAAGATATTGCAAAGAAATCATAAACAGAAGAAAGAAATCTTAATCGCATTTAATCATAATGTTTCCTTACAGATGTCGACATAAGAAAACCCGCCGCTATCCTGGCCAAGCAGCACAACACTTACTTCAGTCTCGAGGCCGGAGAGCTTCCTTTCCCCTACAAGTCAACGGTCAGAGAAAAAAATACCGAGACTGCAAGTTAAGTTTACACACAGCATCTCGAGAATGGAAGCAGTCTTAGATAATGTTGAGAAGAGTATTAAAAACCCCACAGTTTTTACTCGTGGGGTTTTTGGCTCGTCTTGCTTCAGGCTCGGTTTCAGGCTCGTCTTGGTTCCTCGGAATATAGAAACCAAGAACACAGTAGAGAACATTAATGTTACAAAAAAAAAAAAACACATGTTGTAGCCATTTCTAAAAGTACCAAAAATACTGAATATGTTTTAAAAGTATGAACAATTTAAATCTTAACTTGGAACCTTTTGATTAATGACATAATCAGCCAGCAAGCGTGCAAAGGCAATAGCAGGTAGTCATTAACCCGGGATTACATAATGTGTTGAAGCCATGCAAAGCACACACACTAGCGCTTCCCATTCACAAAGACAAACACGCCTCTCACTCTCTCTTTCAACACTACGGCCGAGTTGCGTGTTGTAAGCGGACAGCTCCTATATGGTTTTTCCAAGGTTCATTATGTTTACTGATGGTAAGACTTGGTAACACACACACACACACACACACACACACACACACACACACACACACACACACACACACACACACACACACACACACACACACACACACACACACCGTTTCTAATATATGTAAACGATCTTCCGGAGGGTATAGACTCATTCCTCTCAATGTTTGTTGATGATGCAAAAATTATGAGAAGAATCAAGATGGATGAAGATAGACAGAGACTACAGGATGACCTGGACAAACTGGAGGAATGGTCTAGAAAATGGCTGCTAAAGTTCAACTCAGGAAAGTGTAAAGTAATGAAATTAGGCGAAGGGAGCAGGAGGCTGAACATAAGGTACCATCTGGGAGGTGAAACCCTGCAAGAGTCAAATAGAGAGAAAGATCTGGGGGTTGATATCATACCGAACCTGTCCCCAGAGGCCCACATCAAAAGGATATCAACAGCGGCATATGCTAGACTGGCCAACATAAGAACTGCCTTTAGAAACTTGTGTAAGGAATCGTTTAGAACCCTGTATACCATTTATGTCAGACCAATCTTGGAATATGCAGCGCCACTATCTGCCCTGAGAGGTCAGGGCAGATAGTGTAAGTTTAAAATGAAACTTAATTTAGAGGCCAGGGAAGCTGGACAAGAGAAGGGGAGAACGTTAAGCCTCATCAGGAATACGGTATGCTTACAACTGAGGTTAGTCTTGATATATTTCAACTCCGTAATGATCAGGGGAACAAGTTACTTCAAGAAGCACGAGTTATTTCAGTACTGAATAATTGTTGTTCTAGATGAAGTACCCGGCGTTGGTCGCACGGAGAATAGTGGCCATATCTTCCCAGCACACGATCTTCATCACAGCTATTTGTTCACTCTGATGGCTCAGCCTGCTGGCCCCTGGTGCTTCCTCAACACCCAGTGTTGTTGAGGAAGGCTGTACCACTGGGTGTTGTAACACCCACTGGTACACCCTCACTTCATCTACGAAATTCGTGAGTTTCGCAGCGACTATGATTCCTCCAGAACCTGTGGTTCTTGGAATATATATATTTATACAAAAATTAAAGTGAATGTGGACTACAAAAGCTTTAAACGTGGCTAGTTATGAATAAAAACAAGCACCACTAACAGGGCCAAATGGGGAAGCTATTTAAAGTCTAGATAAATTCCGTTCAACAGTGCCAAGAACAGACATTCGTATGTATATATAAATATTTACAGTGTTCAATTACTTTAAAATTTTAAAGCAACGTTTGTAGGTCAGTGGTTTGAGGTGACCTGGTCGAGGACCGGGCCGCGGAGACGCTAAGCCCCGAATCCATCTCAAGGTAACCTCAAGGAGGGTGCAGCCATGGTTAATATGCACGGTGGGGCGTCCTGAGAGGACGCTGATGGTTTTACTAATATAACTAACAGTACGTATAAGCCTTCACCCTCCTCCTGGACATAAAAATGTGCTCACTAAATTAGTTTTTCCTTAAGAGGGAAAACAAATTTAGTGAGATACCACCAGTGTGTGGGAACAACCACACATTGTGTCAGGTGTTGGTTGTTCCTCATTACAGTGTTCGACACCGGCTTTTACAGTTTACAAACCAATTGTTATGTGATTGTGTGAATGTCACAGATTTGACGAGGAAGCAAACTTGTGGCTGTCTCTTTCCAAACACCTAAAAGAAACGAAAAACCAAACTGCCTACAGAAAAAAGTGAGAATTAAGATTATGAACCGAGTCAAAGGCAAATAAAGTTAGTTGATTAATTTTGTGCAGTGATGCGCATGGGACTAAGCGAAGATATATATAACAAATCAATAAAGAGATTACCCGGACCCCAGGGAAGCAGACTGCCAGTGAATGCAGGGATGGGTATGCACCACAACACTCTGAATCAAGCGGCATTGGTCAAAGGTGAACAAGAACACACAAACTTTCCAGCCATAACTGGAGACCAGCTGTGTGATTACAATCCTTGTCAACTCCCTCAAATAAAATGACCTTAATACAAGCACAGAGCTTCTGTAGTATAGAGTATAAGAAATATGACAGAGATAACAAACAGGTGCTGGGGTGCAGCACAATAAGGTACCCTACTGACACCACTGATACTTCCAAACACAACGTGCCCTTACTGGACCCAAACATCCTGTGGGGTACCGAGAATATTAACTGGACCTTCAGTACGACGTCACTCTTATGGTGCTGAAGCCAAGATGCAGGTGACCTCCTCAGTCTCTAACTGGTTCTTACCTCTCATAATAATAGCTTATCATTGATTATATAACACCCAAGACCTAATATTAGAACAGCATACATTATTTGTAGAAAATCATATTTCACAATCCAATCCCCACTTCACTGTAAGTTGCCTGACTGTATTGAGAACAACCAATACTGAGACTAAGGTCATCCAAGCTGCCGCCAACCCCACAGACCCATCCTCAGGCTATCCTCGTCCAAGCTGCGGCCAACCCCACCCACCCATCCTCTCATTATATTATCAAGCTGCGGCCGTCTTGAAAGGCGCATTCATAATTTTTTAAAATGCACATTTACATAATTCGAACACTTCCAGAACAAGTGCTTCACTGACGACTTTTGTTCGAACGACAACGCTGTAAATGCTTCACCCACGTATTACACCAACGTATATGTAATACTCAGTATGTTAAAATCATCCCGTCCTCAGACAAAGTCCATTCTATCCAGCGGTCGACCCCAAAGACGCATCCATCAATTTTAACATGCTGTTTATTCAAAACGGGAATTTTCTCAAGTATAAATTAATATTATAATATATTAGCATATTGTGTATATATAGGCATAGGATAGGTTAGGTTAGGTGTTTAGGTTCTGTTGGCGATTATTTGTATTTGTAGTACGTGGGTGAAGCATTTATAGCGTTGTGATTCGAACAAAATTCGTCAGTGAAGCACTAGTTCCGGATATGTTCGAACGTCAGCAGTTGTGAGTCGTGTATAAACCGCTTTTCACTCATAAACAGGGGTTAGGCGGGTGCGTGGAATCACTTTTGGATCTTTGTCTGGAGGACGGGCTGGTGTTTTAACACCCCATCCCCAGGCTATGCTCGTCAGCTGGGGCCAGATTCACAAAGCAGTTACGCACGCACTTACGAACCCGTACATCTTTTCTCAATCTTTGGCGGCTTTGTTTACAATTATTAAACAGTTAATGAGCTCCGAAGCACCAAGAGGCTGTTTATAACAATAACAGAAGTTGATTGGAAGTTTTCATGCTTGTAAACTGTTTAACAAATGTAACTAAAGCCGTCAAAGATTGAGGAAATATGTACACGTTCGTAAGTACTTGCGTAACTGCTTCGTGAATCTGGGTTCAGACCTGCGGCTGTTCCCATTCACACATTCGCCAATTTTCCAAAGTTTGTTATAAAAATGACCTTTTCTCAAATATAAATTATTTGTATTACTAATAATATTGTATTATTAATAATGTACCTATGGTACATTAGGCATTTTGGTTCTATGAATAATTATTTGCATTTTCATATCGTAGGTAAAGCATTTAGAGGCATTATTCAAATATAGGAATGTAATCAGCTACGAGCCACGTGTAAAGCATTCTTCGTTCATAAGCAGAAATTATCAATCATTTGAAGATGGAATGAGCGGACGCACAATTAAGGTTCCGGTCATCAACAAACGTCACAATTCGAATGGCCCTTAGTGAGATTTATGGTAAAACGTCTGTAATCTGTCGTTACGAACGTCACTTGTGTTTAATAAACGGCCCGTACATATCTGTGTAATTATTTTCATCCGAAAGCTAACTAGACTTAACCAGGAACTAGATTCACGAAGCTCCATGTATTTCTTCGTAAGTAGGTTTGCCGGCTAAGAACACTCCAAAGGGTGATTCAGAAAAGTAAACTTACGAAGATTTCTAAGTAGTTCACTTAGGTCTCGCTACATGTCACTAGGCTTTCAGTTTGGCCAATCAGAGAGAAGGTAACATTTTTCATTTTACAGCTGTAGCCAATGACGACGCTGGCATATCGAAGCTTATCCGTGACCACTTTGCTGCTTATTTACGTCGAATCCTCTTATAAAATTAGTACATTTCGAAGTAAAACTATGTTTTTTCAACTTGTACAGTCAGCACCGACATTGTAGTAAACAAATATGTTACATTTTTTTTACCTACGTGAGTCTGGCCCTAGCT